AGAATTAGAGGTACATTTAGCCCCCCTTCTTTATTCGATTGAATAATCGTGTTTCGCTTGATCTTGTCGGGTTTTCCTTTCCAAACGAATTTAAAACATTTTTTATGTAGATTTTGAATGGTATCACTTCTTGGATTTGGCAACATAGTAAACAGATGATTTAGGGAAGGCAATATAAGGCTTTTAAGAACAGCAATTCTGCCAAATGGAGTAAGGTCTCTTCTTAACCACATCGTCATTGTCTTATCAACTTGTTTTAGTTTGTCTTTATAATTTATTTCAACCATTTCAGCCTGGTTGTGTTGAAACTGAATTCCGGGTAAAGTAAAGGGTCTTTGGGACCAATCTAGTTTGAAAGTCTTACAGTATTGATTGCTTGAGTATTGCATAGAACCAATCCATATTATTGTAGTTTTTTCTATGTTATTTTAAGGCCAGAAAATTCAGCATATTGATTAAGTAAACCCAAGGTTGCTTGAAAGCATTTTTCCGTTCCATCAAGAATAAGTGTTGTGTCGTCTGCAAATTGCGTTAATAAATATTCAATATCAAGAAGTTTAATACCCTTTACATTTTTATTTTCCCTCAACATGTGTACCAAAATGTCTGTGCAGATAAGGAATAGATATGGCGAAAGTGGATCACCTTGTCTACATCCTCTCGAAATATTACAAAAATTACTGGAAAAACCATTTACTAGAACACTTGACTTTATATCATTGTAAAAAGTCTTAATCCAATGTGTAATAGAAGGTCCAAAATTAAAAAAATCTAGACAATTCTAAATAAATTTCCATTCAACAGAGTCAAAAGCTTTTTCAAAGTCGATTAGTAAAAGTAAACCTGGTATATTCAATTGTTCGGTGTATTCTATTATATCTGCTACAAGTCTAGTGCAATCGCCAATATATGTCCCTTTCATAAATCCTTTTTGATCCTCACTAATTATAGTTGGTAGTATATTTTTTATACGAGCTGCGATTGTTGCTGATGCTATTTTGTATGATATATTTAGTAGGGATATGGGTCTATAGTTTTTTATGTATTCTTTAGACTTTTCCTTTTTTGGTAAACATGTAATAAGGCCTTGTTTTTGGCTGACCGATAATTCCCCATTTAGATACGCATAATTCAACGAGTTTATCAAAAATGTATGAATATCCTTCCAAAAGAATTTAAAGAATTCGGATGTGTAACCAGAAGGTCCGGGACTTTTGCTATTTTTCATCTTTTTCAGAGCATTAAGAACTTCATCATATTTGAGTTCTCCTTCAAGTGATAGAGAATTTTCATTTGATAATTTGGGAATATTTGATTCTTTAAACAAGTCCTGAAGATTGATATCTTTTGAGCTTTGACTAGAATACAATTTTTTGTAATAACAATGAACATGTTTAATAATATCCTCAGTATCGGTGAGTACAGAATTATCATCATTCAGTTTTATTATCGCTTTGTCTACGAATTTCTGTTTTTCCAGAGCTAGAAAAAATTTCGTTGGTTTCTCTCCTTTTTCTTGCCAATTCGATTTAGCCCTAATCATAATTCCCTCCGTTTTTACTTTATGTATCTCTAATTGCCTGTCTTTAAGTTCATCTATCTCCTTAAGAATATTTTCCTTTTTTTGTCCTGAATTTTATCATCTAACGAAATTTCAAGTTTCTCAAGTGAATCGTTAATTTCATTTTCTTCTTTCAACCTTTCACGTTTCTTTATAGAGGAATATTTTATATTTGAACCTCGGATATTACACAAAAGTACTTCGAAGAACAGCTGGTCATTTATAGTTAAATGTTTTTCCCTTTCTGTATCAACTCTACTGTATTCATCGAATGTATCTCTAATTGTTTTCTTAACTTTGCTGACATACTCTGGATCATGTAACAAGCTATTGTTAATCTTCCAGAACCCACGTCCCCTTTCAAGTTTAGTGAATTGGAGTTCTATTGCTATCAGTGAATGATTAGATCTGTAACCTGTCAGTATATCCGATGACATCACAGATTTCTCGAGGTTTCTACTAATTAAAAAGAAGTCTAATCTGGCTTGTTTCAGAGGTTTCGATTTTTCTCCAGGTGTATCTTTTGGTGTTCAAGTTAGCTTCGCGCCAAGAATCGTAAAGGTTAAGTTCCTCTAGCATATCGACAACAACTTTTGGGGCTTTTAGATTATTAATGTGTTTATAATTGCATGTATCTATATCCTGATTTTGTACGAGATTAAAATCGCCACACAAAATATTTGTGTCACAGTCAAGCTTGTTGATTAAGTTTTTAATATTTGTATAACATTATGGCGTATCCACATTTGGACCATATATATTGGTAATAGTAAAGATATCATCGCTCGACTTTATTTTGAGAATCATGTAATTTCCGTTTTCGTTGTCATAAATTTCATCAAGTATGTGAAAGTCGAAATTGTTTTGAAACAGAATTGCAACCCCCCTTGATTGACTGTTAAAAGAACACAAACGAATTTCTGACCCCCATTCTGTTTTCATTTTTTGCTCCATATTTCTTGTGAAATGAGTATCTTGGATGCAATAAATATGTCCATTTTTCTCTTTAAAATTTCTAAACACATCTATTCTTTTCTTTTCATTATTTAACCCTTGACAGTTTGAACATAATATTTTTACTCTATCTACCATTGCGAAGTATTTATATAATTCTTCCCTGTGATTTTACATAGTCCATGTACAATGTTATGACCCAGTTTTCTTTTGTAAACATGACAGTGAGTGGAAGACAAAGTGATTCTATAAGTGTAAAACATGAAACAAAGCAGAAAGAATAACGTTTCTTCCGATACCAACCTTATGGGTAGCATCCCTGGCTTTTCAGCCAACCCACAGTATATTTATTGCCTATAGATAAAACTATTCTACTTACAAGGTTATGGAATGAACAAAACACTCAAGAGGACTATAATTTAAAAACTCGTTATTTACAACTGTGTTGTGTGTGTCCTCATAATAAGGCAAAAATCCGGATCCCAAGATTGTGATACTAGTGGCTAATAGTTCAATAAAAGATAGTTTACAGTCATTCTGGGGAGAAAGCCTAGATAAACTAAATAGACTTTTAGATTCTGAATGCTAAGTTTCTGCACAAAAACCAAAACAATACCTTTAGAAATAGTTAGCGGTGTCACCACGTTCATCGTAAAGCATTATTGTCATGTAAACAGTAATGTCTCAGAATTGCAAGTATGAAAACCAACAATTAATTTGTTGTTATGTTTAGAACTAGGAATGTAGAATTTAGGAATTTTAACCCCGAAAATATATTTTTCATTAATGACTGAGGTACCTATCTTCAGCTGGATAATGCGTGGGCGTCCTCTTCTTGATCTGTCTACGGTGAACCCAGTCTGTCTGTAGCCCTGAATAAGTCTTATAACCGTGATACGGTGACATCCGAGGGCGTTGGCAACAGCATTGTATGTCGACCCTATCTGCACCATCTTAATGGCTCTTTCCCTCTCTTCAACTGTTAATCGTGGCATATTTCTCGTACTTGTGTATCATATCATGCATTCTATGCTTTCTTTATACCCTATAGAATCATTTAAACGTGAAATGGATGCAAATACTGCTTGAATATTGCTGCGTTTTTGGCGATTGACATGACATTCTGTGTAAACAGAAAATGGAAAAATGTTGCTTTGCAAACAAACATGTTAACAAAACTAATTTTAGATGTTCCTAAACACTTTTTCACAAAATCAAGGACACGTTTCACTTGTTTTCACTAATCAGCAGAAAATGTTTTAAAAGACTGAAATCATAGGAATGATCAATTTTCAGACTCTACAACAGTTGTTTCTTGTTTTAATAATTGAAAAATGGTGACTTCAAATGGTTTATCTTTGCCTTAAAGCAGAATTTTATTTCAACCTTTCTTTTGGACATATAAATCGTTGTTTTTTGTTTATTTCGGCATGGACGAAAATAGGACAATTTAACTCTTCAGAAAAAGATGCATTTCACCTACATATGAATGCATTTGAGAAATTGTTGATTTTCATAAAGCTGTGTTGTTTAAGGATTTGTCCATTATGTAACTCCACTGTAGAAGATGAAATTCACTTCGCTTTTGTATGCCCACATTACGCTGATTTAAGAAAACATTATATCCCAAATAATTATCTGTTAAAATATCCTTCAACTGCCTTTGTTTCCATTCTATCCTCCAAAAATTGAAAATGTAATACGTAATCAAGCGCTTCATGTAAAACATGATGTTACCCTTAGAAGCAATATCTTATCTGAACTCTAATTTCTTTGTGAAATGTCTGTAACATGTGTTGTATATATCCTTGTATTACTTGTATATGAGCCGGAGGCCTTAAGTACAATAAATATCTTTGACTTTGACTTGACGTATCCCACCGGATACCCATTTGCTGCTGGGTGAACACAGGCAATTGTGAACAAACTCACTTGCCACATGTGCTTCGTTGTGGGGCAGGACTGAAGTCCTAGAAACTCTCAGGAGTCAAGCTGCCAAACACCGTCACCCGTCCAAGGACTCTCCGTGCTCAACGTTGCTTAACTTCAACTCAACTTCAACTTTGTGACCAGGGCTCTATAAACAGGACCATACACCACCATAGTGTTACGCTGCTTTTAGCGATATTCCAGCAATATCACGGCGGGGGACACCAGAAATGGGTTTCACCCATTGTACCCTTGTACGTCATGAGCGGGCGCTTCAACTATTGGGCTACCCCTCGGGATTCCCAACTGGTGGAATAAGGATTAGAAGTAACACAGACATGATTTTTAAAGGAGACTAACGGGAGGCCAGATTGTTGTTAATTACTGGTTCAGCATCGACTATTTCACACCGCCGTCCTGTAGCTCGGATATTGCTGAGTGAGCGTTATACAACGAACATAATTAACATTCATATGGAATTAACTATGTGATTCCTACATAGATGAACTTTATCTTATACATGTAAGTGGTGTGTTAATTCTGTACTATGCTGTAGCGGCCAGTTATGTCGTGCTTCCGGCAGAGGAACATGCAGATGCCAGGGATGTCTGCATCGCCATTAACCAGAAACTACTTACGGTACAGTCGTTGGAGGAGAAGGCCACGTTGGATGCGTTTATGTCGTCAAGTAACATGTAAGTTGGATTTCCTAGGTACGTCATCTTTATATAGAGACATGAAAAAGTACATTTGAATAATTCTCATCTCAGAACCTACATTTTAGGTTCAGCTTCGAAAACATTCGTCACCACTCGCCCCTTTCCGTAACCTTCGGCTTGTCCCGGAATAACACGAGTGGGTAACGAATGCTTCAATAAATGCTATTCCATTTTATAAATCAGTTTTAAGGTTTTATATCTAAAATAAAACAAAATCACGGAATTTAAACGTGACGGGCTCGCTTGTGTAATTTTAGAGTACAAAACGATGACCGCGACAACACTGACGCCTTACGTAAGATGACATCGCGACGACCTCGCGACAGCAAAGCCTCCTTAAAATCGTTAATGTGTCCACCATTCGTCATGATACATTTGTGTCTTCAGGGAAAGTGATCCGTGGATTGACGTCACCTATGACTCGGGACAAGGAAAGCACATTCTTACTTCCGGACAGCCTATCACGTGGTCAGACTGGCTGAACGTGTCCGCTCCACTGGAGCCACGGGACGAGGCCACGAAGAGGTGCGTCAAAGTGGAGCGCAACACCGACAACACGTGGCTCTCTACCTACTGTCATGACATATACCTGACTATCTGCGGAGGTAACATCCCAATGTCGTAATGTGTTCACCTTACCATAAATATTACAGCATGTTGACCTTGCCAGCAGTTCATTGTTTGTTGGAATTGCGTTCACGTTATCAGTTCAATATAAGCTACCGGGCAAAAGAAAGTTATCACTTTTAAAGTAATTGTATAAAAAAACGAAAACCTGGTACAGGTTTGAACCCAAGCAGAAGACATTCGCCAAAACGCAACAGATTTTGTTCCGTAATACACTAAAGCAAAGGTCGCGGTGCTAATCTAGACCCAGTTGTTATGGTAACCACCATCACGTCCTCAGTAGAAGTCAAGAGAGTTATAAAACCGTCTTGTATTCTACCGGGCTATATTGATATGTAAAGTAATTATAATATAGTAAACGTTTCAAACACAATATAGTGGAGATGGCTGGGTACTGGGTGTTGACTTACTGAATTGTCATCTGAGGGAGTATTGGAAACATAACTGTAAAGGGCATACATTGCTAATCCGCTGGTGTGTAGGGCTAGAATTAACTTGAACTGGGCGTAAAAGGAGGCCAGGTGGTCAAGTTTGGTAGCTATATGATGTCATTGTACCATGTTCGGATGGCTTGTTGTTCATACTATCGATCACTGGATTGACTAGTCGAGCGAGGGCGCGCCGTCTAAGGCGCCGCGCTAGTAAGCGAAAAGTGCCTGGATCAATGTTAAATTCCACGCTTTAATCGTATCACAATCCATGCTGGTGAGTTTGAGTCCCAGAATCAACCAAACTAGCAAATGCTTTGACCAGCTTCGGGCCCATTATTAAGATCAGATACATCTTGTCGTCAAGCGTTGTCTTCAGGCAATTAGAAACCACGCCATAAATAAGTATTTTTGAAAATAATCGGTCAGGGCTATTGGTAGAGAATCTTGGTTAATTGTCAGAGCTGCCAATACCTATGCCAATACAAGCCAATAACAATGTTTGCTCTACTTCTTATAAGAGAGATGCTACTATTAATAGCCGACTGGCAATGAAGTTTGTAATGTTCCTGTTTGCGATATCGACAAGCGGTTGCCACGTGCACTGTTGTTGGACCAGATAACCAGTTCACAAAACATCAATGATTAAACATAAGTGACGACATCCCCAAAACAATTACGTGAGCATTGTTCAGCTGTACACCCAATAACATAAGATATATATTGAAAGGTCTTATGAAATTGCAACTCGAATTAAATGAATCGTGAGAGTTGTTTACAAATAAGTTGCAATATTTAGTGTCTACCATTCTACAAGCAAACAATTTGTGTATTAAGTACCAAGATAGATCAGGTAAGATGTTCACTCACTACCATGCTTTCAGCATACTTATTTCCCAATTATTCATCATTAATTATAGATATATTATCTAAATAAGTACCATTTTAGCTGACAAGAAATTAAACAATGTAATCAAGGTTATGATTTTGCAATGTATAGTCCGTTTGGGTTCAAATGACAACGACAACTGATTAAAGAACTTGAAATTAGGATAAGTGCACAAAACATAAATAAGACACATGGTTCTGAAACATCTGTTCCCAACAGGACCTGAAATCTGACGTTTTTTGATCGATCACGGAAAAAGTTGTTTAAGACAAACGGCTGATGGAACAGCGCCTGACTAGCTGGGGTTATCTCACCTGGCTGAGCTGAGTTGCACCTGAATGTGTGTTGGGTCTGTTCCACCGGGCGTTTGTCACCCCTCGGTGTGAAGCGTGAAAATAGCACAATATCCCAATTTCGAGATATTTAATCATTCATCGTTCTCATTTGAACCCAAACGGACTATAACTATTCCATTCCAGAGTTAGGAGTGTACTTCAACCTGTCGGTGGTGACGTACACTGAGGCCAAGGCGGCGTGTGCCGCACAGGGCTCGGTCGTAGCCAAGGTGCAGAACCAAGTAGAACTGGAGGCCTTCATCGACGTGCTCAACAATGCTTCCACGTACGTAGCTTGCGTGTACGGCGTGACTCCTTCATATAATGTCCAAAGGTGGTTGTTTTGGGATTTGTAGCATCAATAAGGATTCACGATTTCCAGTTCTTTTCAACATTCCTTCCAAAATAGGACAGATGGTACCTTTGACAGCAGTGGTCAGTAACTCCAAGAAGCCTGAAACTGTTTACCTTGGACTGTTTTGTTCACGTACTATGAGCATCATTCGGTCGTTTTAGCAGATGACAAAAATACATAATTACGATAACTATTAGTATTATTTACAGATAAAATATATACATGCAGCAAAGACTGTTGTGGTGACCCTGGCACTGTCATTTGGTTAGGCTCATCATCATGCAACGGGACAGCCAGCACAGCCCAGTCACCAAGAAGCCATCAAGAACTTTTCAGAGGATGTGAAGACTGACCAACACTGCATATTTCTGCATCACCCAGAGAGTCGAAATAGTGGGGGAAATGTGGTTCAGTTCTGGTCACTCAATCCCACTATATTGCTGAAAGCAGTATAATACCCAACTAACTCACACATTGTTAGTGGGAAGGATCAACATTTGCAATTTTCCACCGTACAGTGAAGTAGAACCAACTGAAAGAGAATCCCAATAGTCATTTACGAGGATATACGTGTCGTGTTTTTTTCAATTGACATAATTGTGTGTTTTTTTTGTTTTGTTTTCGCGTTTTGGGGGGAGACAGGAGTTTAAGAGAACCTCATAGAAGATACGGATCGGAAATACCTCAATTGCCGTTACAAAGGCAACTGGTCATGAAATACATGATGTGATTGTTGAAGGTTGCAGCACGCTTGCTTCTGATTCCTGATCACAAACACTCTAGATTCATCGTGTCTAATAACAATTTACGTCGTTTCGAGGCAGAACCAGCTAATTTTGTTTAACGTTTTGTAAGCGTGGGTTAGTATCAATCAGAGACGAAACATCCGCTTATGCTTATGCGCTATGTTGGGCTATTTCATTAGGCTTAGTTGAGATGATCTGAAACCTGAATTTCTGATGTTAGAGGTTTCATTAGAAATGGATTGGAATAAAGTTGTTAAAAGAGCATTAACCTTCCTCAATACACAGTAGGAAGAAGATGAGTTACTGTACCCTTAGCTATCTGCCTTCTTTTGAAATTTTAACGGGCACACCACGGAATGACCAATGGCGACGATTAGACGAATCAGATTACGTTAGACGAGAATCAAGCGAACCAGTGGTGAATATTACATGAATGGATCTCTGTACATTAGTGGTGATACCAAGTGTTCACGAAAAGGTTACCCGGGAGGTTATATACCTACTTGTCCATAGTGTGAGACACTCCAGTGTTTGTTGATGTTTGACTTACATTCACGTTTTGCTGAAATTGTGATCTTTTTTTTTGTCTTCTCAGCATTGGTCTCCCCTGGTTAGGCATTGAGTTTAATGACACGGGTTACGTGTTCAGTGACGGAAGTGATGTCACGTGGTTCAAATGGAAAACTTTGGACTTCCGTGAACCGGAAGGCCTGTCATGGAAACTCTGTGTGGTTTATGACCACCAGTACCGTGGGTGGAAGGCGGAACAGTGCACAAGAACTGCCTCAGTCATCTGTCAAGAAAAGAAAGGTTAGCAAACAATGACATGACTTAGTGACGGGAGACAGGTTGTGTATCATCCCAACCCAACATATAGTCTTTCTTGGCTCTGATTACAGTACATCTTTTTATGACATGAGTATGACAAAATGTTTGCCTCATAATTGTGAATCATTTTCGATCTCCCAAATCCATCTCCCAGTTCGAATGATGATATTGATTTGAAGCTCGCTGTCCAGTAGGTGGGGGAATTTCTGAAACACATCTTGTATTGTTCGTGGACAAATATCATGAAACGTTTGTGTTAATGTTTCCAATAAGAGGAGACCGAAAATGATGATATTGATTGAAGCTCGCTGTCCAGTAGGTGGGGGAATATCTGGAACATGCGGAATACATTTTGTATTGTTCGTGGACAAATATCATGATGTTCCTAACAAAGATGCTGTGGAACTTTAACTTAAAATTTCGACCTTATTCAGTATGGTTGTTATTGTTTGCTCAGTACATGCGGTAGGTGCAAGGTTCAAGGTAAGTGCAATGCTACTCGTTTACATAACTCGATCTATCCAGTTTGTTCAATTAATTGGTGGTTAAATCGATCAAGGATGTTACCGCATTCAAATTAAATGTTATACCATTGATCTCAGTACTGGTGATTGATTTATCAATACGGGTTTATTTATGTGATCAAACAAAATATATGTATGTCAATAACTGCCAATTACTGTGCAAGCATAATGGCTTTCGTCATGATGTAGTGAACACGTGACTATCTCGATCTCATTACACGTGTAGCAGCGTTCACGTGACTAGTTCGATCTCATTGCATGTGTAGCAGCGTTCACGTGACTAGCTCGATCTCATTGCACGTGTACCAGCGTTCACGGGACTAGCTCGATCTCATTGCACGTGTAGCAGCGTTCGTAGCAGCGTTCACGTGCACTCGCGTGACTAGCTCGATCTCATTGCATGTGTAGCAGCGTTCACGTGACTAGCTCGATCTCATTGCATGTGTAGCAGCGTTCACGTGACTAGCTCGATCTCATTGCATGTGTAGCAGCGTTCGCGTGACTAGCTCGATCTCATTGCATGTGTAGCAGCGTTCACGTGACTAGCTCGATCTCATTGCACGTGTAGCAGCGTTCACGTGACTAGCTCGATCTCATTTCACGTGTAGCAGCGTTCGCGTGACTAGATCTCGATCTCAGCTCGATCTCATTACACGTGTAGCAGCGTTCACGTGACTAGCTCGATCTCATTGCATGTGTAGCAGCGTTCACGTGACTAGCTCGATCTCATTGCACGTGTAGCAGCGTTCACGTGACTAGCTCGATCTCATTTCATGTGTAGCAGCGTTCACGTGACTAGCAGAACCCGACGACTTTGCAGTGTTCATTTGACAGTGGTGCGAAATTTAAATGATGTTTTGACCAATTTGGTTCCATTCTGTGTTGTTATATTTGCAGTTACTCCCAATTACCGGCTGTTAGCCATTGATGCCGATCTACCCTTGGCGCCATCTTTTACCATAGTAACGAAAATCCACAACAAGTGTGCAATGATTTGTTACGACCAGTCATGTACACATTTCACCGTAGATGGAGAAGAATGCCGTCTTTATTATGCCACGGGAACGCAGACTTGGACGCCGCTGGTGGGGGCCACGCTCTGGATTGAGGGGGAACAACTCTAAACATCATAACGTGGGGTACGTTATGCCCTAACACCTCACATCTTCTCGACACATATCGAAATCTAGTTTTAACCTTTGCCCTTTCCAGCCGACTAACAAACCCGTGAAGGTCCGGGCTAGAATGAACCTTTAGTAACCCATGCTTGTCGTAAGGGCCGACTAACGGGATCGGGTGGTCAGGCTCGCTGGCTTGGTTGACACATGTCATCGGTTCCCAATTGCGCAGATCAATGCTCATGCTGTTGATCACTTGATTGTCTGGTCCAGACTCGATTATTTACAGACCACCGCCATATTGCTGGAATATTGCTGAGTGCGGCGTAAAACTAAACTCACTCACTCACTCAAGCCGACTAACAGACTCGTTCTGTCGAGGACTATCGCACATATCGAACGTTCAATCAGTTTTACAAAATCAACGTCCAGGGTCTCAAAACATGGCCACAGCTACAGAATGTGTTGAAAGTATTCCAACAGTTCGGCGAAGACAAATATTTTTGAAGTCTTTCTAAGTATTTAATCAGGTCGTCTTATATATCTTTGAGTGTAAACGTCATCGTGTTTCAACTCCGAACGTCTGAACGTTTGCCACTGTGAATGAAATACAGTCCTGTTGTAGACGACCAGTGCCGAGCATTTCATGATATCGCGATGTGTAGTGTAACATGATCCTGTGATGTCCGTCAGTCTGTATTACTGTATGATCTAAATGCGACAGTAATAAGTAAAGTGGAAATCGCCTTTCCTTTATAAAGTGCAAAACTCATGGCCTACAAGTTCGTGGCTGCGATTAAGGGAAACCATGTCAGTTTGAAAGGACAAAGTTGGAAACCAGACCTTAATGAGTGCGGGTCCTGCCTCTTGAAGATGCCCTGAAGGTCTGAAGGGTCGCTGCATCAGACACGGACACCCGTACGTCTAAACCAGGGATGCCAGGAACATGAATCTGCAAATCTCGGTTTTGTATTTAAATATAGCACTCAACAGAAAGAGTATTTATCGTTGACACACATGCCTATTATGTATGGCCTTCCATGATGGCCTTGTATGTATAGCCTTGTAACTAATAAACATACCGTGTCTCTTCAACAAAGAGAGTTTTGTTCGAGTTGTTTTGAACGTTCTATGGTTCTATCGCTGTATTCTTGAGTCTGCTATCACTGATGAGGAAATAAGTTCATGTCTTTTTCATCTGAAAAATGGCAAGTCAGTTGGTAGAGATGGTGTAATTGTTGAACTTTAGAAATCATCTATACATATTATTATGCCTTTTTTAAAGATATTGTTTAATAGTATTTTTAACACAGGTGTTTTTCCCATGGCTTGGACGAAAGCAATAGTTATTCCTTTACATAAAAAGGGTGATCGCAAAAACCCAGATAATTACAGGGGGATTTCTTTATTGTGTATATTAAGTAAATTATATACATCTATTTTAAATGTCCGTATCACGAACTGGGCAAATATATGGAGTAAAGTTCCCGAAACACAAGCAGGCTTTAGACAAGGGTACTCTACGATTGATCATATTTTTACTTTGCATGCTGTTATAGAAAAATGTCTAATTAAGAAAAGGAAAAAGTTATATGTTGCTTTTATTGATTTTAGAAAAGCCTTTGATTCAATTGACCGTTCTAAGTTATATAAGCGCTTATTCAAATCTGGTTTACATGGGAACATGCTAACTGCTATAATGAGTATTTACAGCTCGGTAACAGCTTGTGTTAGAAGTGATAACGGATATACTGAGTATTTTGCCTGTCCAATTGGTTTAAAGCAAGGTTGTATTCTTAGCCCTTTATTGTTTTTTTTTTTCATTAGTGAATTATCAGACGACATATCTAGATATAGTAAATATGGAGTGCAGTTATTTCCAGACTTATTAGAAATCATGTTACTTATGTTTGCAGATGATGTTGTTCTTATATCTGATACAATTCCAGGCTTACAGAATCAACTTAATATTCTACATAATTACACTGAATATTCAGGTCTAAAAGTAAACTTAGACAAGACAAATATTGTTGTTTTTAGAAGGGGAGGGCGCTTAGCTAAAAATGAAAAGTGGTTTTTAAATGACCAACCAATAACAACATTAAATACTTATAAATATTGGGAGTTATATTTTCATCAACATTTAAGATGAGAAATTGCATCAATGATTTAGCACTGAGGGGTAAGCGGGCTTTAATGGAAGTAATAAGTAATTTAAATGGAATTGGAATAGTAGACCCCAGTGTGTATTTTAAGATATTTGATGCGCAGATACAGCCGATATTACTGTATGGGGCAGAAATCTGGGGAATACATAAATTTTATGAAATAGAAAAGGTTCATCTAACAGCTTGCAAACGTTTCTTGAATGTCAGCCCTCAAACACCTACTGCTATTGTATATGGCGAGTGTGGAAGATATCCTCTCTTTATAAACGCATTGTGTAAAACTTTAAAATATTGGTTAAAGGTTATTCATATGCATCAAGATAGAACTCCTTTGAAAGTGTACAAAATGCAAATGTATTACGATAACTGTGGATATAAGACATATGCTTCATATATTAGAGAAATACTTTTTCACATGGATTTGGTTACGTCTGGATGTCTCAGACAGTTGGTGATGCAGCTTCATTTGTAAATAGATTCAAGACTGTTGCAATCAATATGTTTTTTTCAATCATGGAATTGTACATTGAATAACAGTTCACGATACCGTAATTACCGAGAGTTTAAAAGTCTGTTAACTCCAGGAAAATATTTACCATGTATCTTGGACAAAAAGTTTCGAAATATTTTGATCAAATTTAGATGTGGGTTATTAAGGTTAAAGTATAATGAGGGAAGATGGTTAAATGTTGAGGTTGCAGAACGTAATTGTCCATTGTGTAAGCTGGGTGTAGAAGATGAGTATCGTTTTATATTTATATGTACTTAATATAACTCCCTTAGATTAAAATACTTGCCATATGTATATCAGAAACAACCAAACTACTATAAACTTAAGTCCCTTTTATCAACAAATAATGAAACACTTTTAAGAATGTAAATGTATCTTTCATGCTTATAAAATCAGAGCAATGAAACTCAAATAAATTTTCTTTAAAGCACACATTTTTTCCATTTTAAATGTTTATAAAGGTGTGTGTATATGTTTATATTAAATATTATATTTATACTGACAAGAAATCTATTTGAACAAATAACTCGTGTATTATTGATATGTATGCCCTTTAAAGTGTATCTATATTTGTAAACAAATGTATGTATGTTGTATATAAGCCTGTGGCCTACATACGGAATAAAAATACTTGACTTGACTTGACTTGGTTACATGGTTGTATGTCTTGTATTTCAATTACTTCCTGTGTGGTTGTGTGTCTATGTGTTTGTTTGTGTGTCTGTGTGTGGTTGTGTGTCTGTGTGTCTATGTATGTGGTTGTGTGTCTGTGTGTTGTAGTGTGTCTGTGTGAATGTGTATCTGTGTCCGTAGTTGTGTGTATGTGTGTAGTTGTGTGTCTGTGTGTGTACTTGAGTGTCTGTGTGTGGATGTGTGTCTGTGTTCGGACTTCTGTGTCTCTGTGCGTAGTTGTGTGCATATGTCTCTGGTTCTATGTCTGTGTGCGTAGTTGTGTGCCTAAGTGTGTGGTTATGTGTCTGTGTGTGTTGTTGGGTGTCTGTGTGCGTAGTTGTGTATCTGTGTGCGTAGTTGTGTGCCTGTGTGTGTAGTTCTCTATGTCTGTCTGTGTGTTTCTGTGTGCGTAGTTGTGTGTCTATGTGCGTAGTTGTGTGTCCGTGTGTGTGGTTGTGTGTCTGTGTGTGTGGTTGTGTTTCTGTGTGCGTCTGCTGTGCGTATGCGATGTGGTTGTGTGTCTGTGTGTGTGTGTGTGTGTGTGTGTATGTGTGCGTGATTGTGTGTGTGTGTAGGTGTGTCTGTGTGTAGCGTGTGTGTGTGTGCGTGTGTGTGTAGCTGTGTGCGTAGTGTCGTGTCTGTGACGTTGCGTAGTGCGTGTCTCTGTGTGCCTATTTGTGTTTCTGTGTGCGCCTATTTGTGTGTTTGTGTGTGTAGCTGTGTGCCCTATTTGTGCTTTGTGTGCGTAGTGTGTTGTGTGTCTGTGTTGGTGTGTCTGTGTGTGTGTCTGTGTGTTTGTCTGTGTGGTTCTGTGTGTAGTTGTGTGTCTGTGTGTGTTGGGTTGTGTGTCTGTGTGTGTGGTTGTGTGTCTGTGTGCGTAGTTGTGTGTCTGGCTGTGTGTTTTGTGTCTTTGTGTGTAGATGTGTCTCTGTGTGTAGTAGTGTGTCTGTGTGTGTGAATGTGTGTCTGTGTGCGTAGTTTTGTGTCTGTGTGCGTAGTTGTATATCTTTGTGTGTCTCTGTGCGTAGTTGTGTTCCTATGTCTCTGGTTGTATGTCTCTGTGCGTAATTATGTGCCTATGTGTGTGGTTGTGTGTCTGTGTGTGTTGTTGTGTGTCTGTGTGCGTAGTTGTGTATCTGTGTGCGTAGTTGTGTGTGGTTGTGCGTCTCTGTGTGTAGTTGTGTGCCTATTGTGTGTAGTTGTGTGTCTGTGTGCGTAGTTGTGTGTGGTTGTGTGTCTGTGTGCTTGGTTGTGTAGTTGTGTGTGTCTGTGTGCGTAGTTGTGTGTCTGTGTGCTTGGTTGTGTAGTTGTGTGTCTGTGTGCGTAGTTGCGTGTCTGTGTGCCTATTTGTGTGTTTGTGTGCTATTTGTGTGTGTCTGTGTGTGTAGTTATGTGTCTGTGGTTGTGTGTCTATGTGTTGGGTTGCGTGCCTGTGTAGTTGTGTGGTTGTGTGTATGTGTGCGTTGTTGTGTGGTTGTGTGTGTAGCTGTGTGTGTGTGCTTGTGTTTCTGTGTGCAGTTGTGTGTCTTTGTGTGTGGTTGTGTGTCTATGTGTTAGGTTGTATAGTATGTCTATCTGTGTGGCTGTGTGTATGTTTGCATAAAAGCGTTACTAATGACATTGCTGATGCAACACTGTGTGAATGAAAGCCCAGAGAATCGATCGTTTGGTGTGAATGAAAAGCAATCAGTGAGTTTGGCTTTACGCCGTCTTTAGCAATATTCCAGCAATATCACGGCGGGGACACCAGAAATGGGCTTCACACATTGTACCCACGTGGAGTATCAAACCCTGGTCTTCGGCGTGACGAGCGAACGCTTTAACTACGAGGCTTCCCGACCGTGCCGATGTGTAAGGAAGTATGTATGGATGAACTTCTTTATTACAGTGAGAGTGACGTTCCAGTGTAGGTTCTAACACCATTATCAAAGTAAGTGAAGAAATATAGAAGTTGTTCAACCTTTATTGTTATCCTACTGCTCCAACTTCTCAATGCCTCCAAGAAGTTACATGTACGTGCCATTTCCGTATTTGCATTGTGTATAGGAATAACAGCAGGGAATTATGAAACGCAAGTGAATCGTAGTCATCTACGGCCTCACCACTAACAATCACACGCAGTGGTAACAATGCTGGTCTGTTGAAGTCGTGTTTTCGATACCAGTACAAAGTTATTGAAGTAACAGTAAAATGACTCTATAACTCCCGACGATGGGTTTGGTTTCATCGGTTCGAGACTATCGGGTCATGCCTCTCGGTTTGATACTATGTTTCTTTCAAATTTAATCGCTGGCTCGTGCAAATCTGCCGTCTCAGGACACAAATAGCCAAGTTGTTGAAATACCACCTCGCCTACCCAATGACATCACAGCATGTGTTGTATATCAATCCTACATTAAATGACCCACCACATAACACACTTTCACACAGATCACAATTAAATCAAAAGGGGTGTAGTTAAAAAAAGACAATAATCACAAAAGGCTTTTTAAAAGTATTTTGATGCACAAACAGCGAATGTATATTTTCGGTGACCCCTTCTGTCAGCATGTGACCTGTGTCCCAACTCGCCACCACACAACCACAAGGCTGATCACACCCGCGATACAGCCTATAAATCATAGGGGACAATATCGCTCATATCCGTGTGTCTACTGTGCACGATATATCAAATACTCCAGGAACGAACGCAGAATGTCCCGAGCTATAAATCAAGGAAGCCGTCAAGTTGTTTGTATTTATCTGCATGTATATTGCCAATTGTGAATTTGTATTCAAATCCAAGCAATAATATTCTCGCTCCATGCACAGTAATAAAGTACCACAAAAGCCCATGTGGTCAGTACTGTACCTCCTCGTGGTTGTATATGGGCAATAACGTCACACCCAGCTCTGTGATAGTCCTGTATACGGGCTATTCTGTGTTGCGCTAAGGCCTTTGTTTGAGTGTATCAGTGTGTTTTGGGGGGACACTGTCGTTACCTAGCTGGGTCTAAACTAATGGGCGTTATATTGCCACCACGCTGTATGCTACCATTATGTACAGCCACAGGGGAAACATGTACTTGTTTATGTCAAGTCATATCTCCTGGATCACAGTCCGGAACAAGATATTCAACATTTTTATACAGAATGAGTTCGGTTCCATCGGTA